TTCATTCTGCTAGCCTTACTATTAGTCATTTAATTGATTCGATTATTCATCCATTTCACTATGTATATATATGTACATTTTATTCATATTCATTTTACTCGCTTACTCGTACTCGTATTCGCTGACTCGCTCGCTTGCCTGCTAGCTTTTCAGGACTACTCTTTCATGCTTACTGAATGTACCTGTAAATTGGATATCTGTGTGTGGTCGCATAATAAACGTCATCAACACTTCGTACTCACCTTCTGATTAATACACCATTGGGGCGTTATCTAGTGACGGTTATCAAGACGAACTGAATACGAAGTTTAAGGATTATATAGAATACCGACCACCACAGCCTTTCACTAGTTTCCTTCTAACTTCTGCGACAAACAACATAGGACATCGATCATAGGAAGCTAATAGGAAAGAACGTAAGTATATTTGACATCAGGATGTTAACAGACGAACTGAAGAGTTTGCAGATATGGAAAAGGTTCAATGAGTTGGTGACGGTGAGTCGTGAGCTACAATCAAGTTTTTCGAGTAGGAGTTCTAGAAGTGGAGCACCATGACACATTTGTTATTAGTAAAAATACTTAGAAATTTCTCGGAACATATCAAATTCATTGTCGAAAAGAAGATGAACATAGTGAACTACCACTTCTAAACTGTTTAGTTAAAAGGAATCCTAATGAAAGTCTAGATCTAGCCATATACCGAAAACCGACACATTCATATCATTGTATTGGTTTAAACTCTGCACATCCATTCATCGCGAAAATTTACCTAGTCCCGAACCTTTTCAGAAGAGTAACCAAGATTATTACCTCCGAAAATAAGCTGAAAATAAAACAGAATATAATAAACATCCTACATTCTAATAATTGTCCTGAAAAAAATATTATTAAAAACATATTAAAACAAAATTCTCCTTCTGTAAATAACAATCCTAATGAAATTTCTTGGACTGGTACTGTAGTTTTTCCTTACCGCCAAGGTACGACAGAAGAATTACAATAAATATTAAAAACATACAAAAGTAAAGCTTTCTATAAGATAACTAACATTCAAAGAAACGCTTTAGTTAAAGATGAAATTCCGTTCATTTCTACTCGAAATTGTCTCTACACACTAGGTCATGTCGATTCTGTATTGGAGTGTCTTCCCGTGAGATCTCGACTCATGCCAAGGAACACCTAAGTTACAGAAAAAGATATAATAGTCCTGTAGAACTGGATAATTTACAATTCAAACTAGCAATACATACTATTTTCAACAATCACCAAATTAATATTAAAAATATCAAAATAATTCAGAAAAGCTTTTCCAACTACAAAGAGGTTCATATAGCCGAATCGTTTCACATAATACTAAATCCCTCTTCCCTCAATCCGAAAAAAGGCCTGAACATTCATCCAATCTGAACTGTTTGTCCAAACAATTACATTTGACCTTATTTATTAGTTTTACACACACGGACACACAATCTCAACCAACCCATAACACAAATGCGTACATTTTTCATATCCATATTCTGACATAGAAATTAATACAGTGATAGGCCATACAAATTCACCTTGACCAGAAATTTCTTGACATTGACATATTTTGATTGTACTAATAATATTTTGCATCGGTTCTTTTTTACTACTTAAAGTTGTGTTCATTTATTCCTGTCATCGAATGACACTGCTAAATATAGTTCATCTCATTATCTCATCAAAATAATCAAAATAGCTGTTGCTTATTAGAATTTATCATAAATTTTAGGTTTAAATGAACCTTGATGAAGATATCAAGTACTTATAATAAATCCTCTTTTTCGCACCTAAAGTAATGAAATTACCATCAATGTGTCTGCATAACTATTCTATTATTTTAAATTAAATTTAAATATGATTGCACAGATTGAAATCATGAGTCAATTGAAGCTAGACCACTATGGGAAACCTGGAAGCATCGGACAGCCGTTTCGTCCTAGTATGGGACTCAGCACTCCGCGATCGCGGACCCCGCGGGATTCGAACCCTGGACCCATCAGTCTCGCGTGCGAGCGCCTAACCAACTAGACCATTGGGCCGGCATCTAACGGCGTTAATGTCTAACTTCAAACAATCCACGAAGTTGCGCCACCGTACACCATTGTCTTCAGTGAGCTGATATCTCACAACAGACCTGGTTGAACTCCATTGGTAACGGCTTCTCACTAGAACTCCAGGAGTATCTCTTGAAGTCAGTCACTTGAAGTCGAATACTATGTCAGGCAGACCCTACATGCAAAATGCCGAAGTGTTTTTAATTAAGATGGTAGAATGCAGTATTTTATAATGAAACTAATATTTATTTATGCAATCATCAAGGTTAACAATGTCACTTCATCAATGAAATAAGTGTAGCTTTACACAAAGTTAGTTTAACTCTCGAATCAAGGACAATACTAATATAATTGACTGATTAGACGGAGTAGAATACACTAAACGAGGATCAGCTTAACTCAATATATAACATAATTAATGAAATATTTGCTAAAACAATTTCATATTATGTCAAGTCTATACACTTCTACACATATATCTAAAATGACCTACCTACCTGGTTATAGTTTACTCAGCTGTGAATTATCACTATTCTCTACGAGAATTGTTCACATAATATAAATTCTAAATTCAATGCAATCCAGAAAGTTACCATATTAGTTGTAATTTTACAACTATACAGCTGGTATAGGCGAGACTATAATTTATTGCTGAACCAATTAGGTATAAGATAACAGGTCTTGGATTTTGGCGTGAAATTCGCTTATTCATTTGGTTAAATAGAGTTTTGGCGTTATAGCTGATGTAAGTTCGTGATGAAAACCCCTAATCTAATTTATAACACTAACCATCAACTGTAAATCATGATTATAATTCCTTACACAGGTTTACAATCCGCATTTGGTCCTAGTTATTACGTGAACACTCTCAAGGTCAGTCTGGCGTCGCTCAAAGGTCATCCATAAATTATAGTCTCGCCGTGAGTATATATTATTTAAATTTACCAAATCCAAAATAAGTCCCTAATTCGATCTAAAAATCATTATTAGAATTATTTGTCAATTATTTAATTTTATGCTTAATTAATTCATCTCTCATTTACTTGTATAGTTGATTACTGAATAAGGATTAAGAGCTTAACCCATAGAATAGTAGTGATTACTTCAAACCTGTTTTCAGTTCTGGAAGTACATCACACTATTGTTGTATTATTGTAATGAGTTTTATCTTCCAGTATTTTCTCAATTTATGAATACGCGATATCGATATTACATACATCATAATCCGAATGAATGCATGCGTGTGATTAGTCCAGAGAATCTTGAAAGCGTTTTGATCCAATATGTTTTTTCTGTTGTAAAATAAATCTAGGTCATTCATATGACGTGTACATAGTCATTTAGTCCATCAAGTTTACATGAATTTACTCAATTATAAGAAGAAATTTTTCATTGTTGTATTTGGATTATTTATTCACTAGTCTCAAACTAGCTTTATCTTTTATTTAAAATCAGAATCTATTTATAGTTTCAAGTAACCATATAATGAATGAATGTTTCAATGGTTAAGATCATGAGTCAGTTGAAGCTAGACCACCATGGAAAACCTGGGAGCACTGGACGGCCGTATCGTCGTATTGTGGGACTCCTCAGCAGTGCGCATCCACGACCTCGCCCCCTGCGAGATCCGAACCCAGGACCTACTGGTTTCGCGCCCGAGCACTTAACCACTAGACCACTGAGCCGGCATCCAACCGTGTTAATGTCTAACTTCAACCAATCTACGAAATTGAGCGACACATTCACCATTGTCTTTAGTGAGTTACTATCCCACAACAGACCTGGTTGAACTCCACTGGTCACTGCTTCTCACTAGAACTCCAGGATATATCTCGTGAAGCCAGTCACTAGTGAGTATATGTTGATTAATATCAGATGGGTTTTTCGTGGAGATTGTAGTAATTTCAATAGTTGAGATCATGAATTCATTGAAGCTAGATCACCATGGAAAACATGGAAGCACTGGACGGCCATTTCGTCCTAGTATGGACCTATGAGTCTCGCGAGCGAGCGCTCAACCATTAGACTACTGAGTCGGCCAGCATCCAACAGTGTTAATGTCTAACTTCAACCAATCCACGAAGTTGCGCCACCGTTCAACATTGTCTTCAGTAAGTTGATATCTCACAATAGACCTGGTTGAACTACACTGATGGTCTAGTTTCAATTGACTCATGATTTTAACGGGTGAAATTTCTAAAAATCTCCACAAAACCCATTCTGATAAGAATTAATATGATTCATAATCAAATATCCCGGATTTATTAAAATTTATCAAACAAACAAACAAAAATTTAAAATCATCTTAAACTTAAATGACAATTTGTTTCAGTGCATATTTACTAAATATAAACCTAATTTTGATTGGTTATTTAAATATTCAATTGAATTCCTATTGATCTTTATATAGTTTTATATGTCTAGATCACTACAAATTGTTGATTGGTTGATAGAATATAACTAAGAATTTATTTTATTTTATTTTTTTGTCTTTCAATAAAATGTCATTCCACATGACATATTTAACCTGTTGGTTAGTTTTTCTATCAAGATTGTGTTTTTTTCTTTTTGCCAACCTTTATGATAAGTTTTGTCCTATTTGTTTGTTTGTTTGTGTTGTTTTTAGGTATCTACAAAGTAACTATTGAAATGTTGAGGTGTATTATTTTATAATTACAATGATATTATTACTTTAAAACTAATTTGAATCATTGAATCAATTATATATAAATGTCGAGTAATCTACAACCTGGAAACAACATATTTAAATAAGATTCATTCACTTTGTTTATTTGTGTGTGTGTGTTTACAACCACTCTCATTATCATGTGTATATGTATATGCATAAACATAAACAGTTATGTGTTTGTTCACTAATGTACTAGTTGGATTTTTGCATAAATTCAAATCATATTTCCAGATAATAATAATAATAATAATAATAATAATGTTTATCTGTACGTTGCTTATAGATAACCAATTCAACCAATTATAATTGATTATAAACCTGGATTTTTCTATTTTTATCATATACCAATAATCTTAGAAATGGTGATGAGATCTTGATAAATGAATCTTATTATTTTTATTGTCAATTAGTCATATTATAATTAAAAGATTTTATCACAGGAATTATAGAAAGATATATATATATATATATGTACAATTATTTCTGAACTTAGCCTAGTACAACGTCATAAATAACAATAATCTCTACGTGAATATCAATAACACTGTCAAATATAGATAGACGAAGAAGGGCCACATTAGGCCAACAAGAAATTGATAATATACAAGCAAAAAGATGGAGTCCATATCCAACCAATACACTGGAATATTTATCACAATCAGTCAGCGATACAACTCGTTATTATTCTCCACAACTAGTGACTATCAATCTACAACCAAATATAGATCTGGTTAACACAAATAATAATAATAATAATCTATATTCCGATAGCTGCGAACATTGTTTGACAAAAAAGTGTACGAAATTGGATGCAACAGTACTAACAAATCTAAGTGGAAATTCTCCACCATTAACTACTTGTACAACTCTGCACACAACAGCTGAGACTATAAAAACAGATTTTGAAACAAGTCAATTCATTACTTTTGATCAACCAACATCATTAAAAAACTTTAAAACACTCAGACAAAATCAAGAACCAATTGGAAGTTTTGTTGACAATATAATCGATCAAAGCGCTAACTATTTGAATAAGGAACCCCAAACTCAGGAATTACCATTGATGGCTCAACCAATAAGTTCAGTCACAATGAAACCTGTACAAAATAATCCAGTACTTCCACAGACAGAAGTATCGAACCCTGTAGGTTTTATCCACTCATCAACAATGCCAACTTTTGGATCTATGCTTCCAATCGCTTCTAGAACTGGGAATAATAATGTTAATTTTAATAGCCCCGTTAAAGCAAATCAATCTGAAACTTCTGGACTTACACTAGTTTTAGATGGTAAAAGCTATGAACCTGAAGAATTACTCAACTTAATTGAACGATTACGACAAGATATTCGAGGATACACTGATCACATAAGATGGCTTGAACAAGAATTGAGTCAAACAAGACTCAATTTAAACGCTCGAGAAAGAGATATTGACAAATTGAAATCAGTTTTAGACCAAAAACTTTATAATAATATGACACAACTACCTACCCACCCCGTTACACCAATATCCGATATATCACGTCAAACAATTATACAAAACACGTTAAATGTAACCGGAATAACGCCTACATTAAAAGCAACTGGTATGCCCGAAAACACTGGACAACAAATGTTTGCAGACAAATTACGCACTAAGAAACAAGGTGTTTCAGGTGAAAGTTTTACTGGACATCAATTATCAGGTCTTGTACATCATGATAAAGATGCTTGGTAAGTTCTTAAGTAGTTTATTTATTTTCATTCTTCTGTATGTTGATTGTTTCCTTTTTTCATTAAAAAGTCCTTTAGTTTAACAATTTTTGTTTCTCATAGTGTGAAACTTTCATTATGTAACCTCATAATTCATAATGCTACAATCAGAGAATTTGATGAAAGTTTCACATTATGAAAAACAAAGATATATATATATATATTGTGTTCATTTGCAGTTCTAAATAACAATGGGAAGATACAAGTAAACAACACCAAGTGAATATATAGTATTCCATGTTTGTTGAACCAATATCATTCAGTGTTAGAGTTTATCCTCAAACTGTCCAGCTGCCCAAACTGAAACAGGTGGTTTTATTAGGGAACCACAACCGGAGCCTTTGACCTAAACGTTTGACCCCCAAGGCAGTGGAGCAACTGCAGGAGATGCAGTCCCATGGTAACCAGTGACCAACAATAGGTTCATACGCCATTTTTCTATCAGGATACTGGAGCCCATGTGCACCATTGGTTTGGAATCAAGGTTTTCCAACTCTCCTAGGTAGACTCTTCGTATCCAACAACCCGGTTTAAGCACCGGACATTCGCTTTTCGTCCTCTCGACTTCGTAAACAACACCCTCGCCACGAGAAGTCAGTGAGTAGGACTTCCCTGGTAGTGACTGTACACTCGTGGCCATGCGAGAGCATTCCGAGCGGGGAGAGCTGATACTCCCCACCCTCGGCCATACCAGGGCATTTGGGCATCTGATGTATTGTCATGATTTAACTATAGCATGTATGCATTTACAAACATAAGACTAAAACAAAAATAGTGGAGTTTATTTATCTTTACTTGACTATTATTTTAATCTAGTATGACATGAAAACACTATTATAAGTGAAAATTATTCACCACCGAAAAAAATCAATTTTTTATTATTTAGATTACTGTCCCAATTATTGCTGACATAGTAATTTATTAAAGAATGTATGGTAGTTACAAATTAATTAGACTGTATAATTAGTTTAGCATAGTAATAATTATTGTCTAAACATAAATTGTTTATTTTTAATTTGTTATAATACAGTAAAGGTAATGATTAATTATTAATTGTGCATATTTAAATATCATGTGGCTTTAATAAAATAGCTTATTTATAAATTGATTGACTTTGAAGTATTCCGTTTGACAATTATATATTAGCTTACTTAATTTATAATTAACATAATATAAATCCGAATTTTCAAGGATTCATTAATATCAGAAGGGGTTTTGTGGAGATATTAGTAATTTCAATAGTTGAAATCATGAGTCAATTGAAGCTAGACCACCGTGAAAAACGTGGAAGCACTGGACGGCCATTTCGTCCTAGTATGGGACTCCTCAGCAGTGTGCACCCACGATCCCGCCCCCCGCGAAATTCGAATCCAGGACCTATCAGTCTCGCGCGCGGGCGCTCAACCATTCGACCACTGAACTGGCCGTTATCCAACAGTGTTAATGTCTAACTTCAACCAATCCACGAAGTTGCGCCACCGTCCACCATTGTCTTCAGTGAGCTGACATCTCACAACAGACCTGGTTGAACTCCAGTCTCACTAGACTGATAGGTCCTGGGTTCGAATCTAGCGGGGGGCAGGATCGTGGATGCGCACTGCTGAGGATTCATTAGTAGTTAATTATATTATGTAAGACAGTCTCTGACCTGTTTTAATTTTTGAGCTTATTATACAATATGTCAAAATATTGTGGTGATTTTTGTTCTCTTTTACTAAATATTTTGACTGATTATTAATATCTACTGAGCATGTGAGTTACTAAATAATTTCTATAAAATATGATGAAATATCCTTTTGATTCATGATTCAGAACTAAAGCAAAAATAACATCATTTAGTCCTTCAATCAAATGAGGTTCAGGTACCTTATGAAAAGTATGTAATACTAGAAATGGCAAAGGAAGATGGATGTTCATTTATTCGTTGTTTGAATGTTTTCAATTAAAATGTAGCTTAAAAGTAAAAAGTAAATTGACTCATTTACTAAGTATATGAGTATGAGCCACACTTTAGATGTAAGAGCTAATGATACTATCGGTTACTCAAACCAAATGAGATAAAATGTGGTTCGAAACTCAGACAAAGTGATTGAAAGTCTAATGCCTTAACCATTAGTAATTAATGTATACTATTTTCAAATAATATTTTGACACTAATTTAGTGTACTTATAACTGGTGATGGTCATTAATAATTTTAACTATGTAATATTGAGAGTGGCCTAATTTTATTGTAGGAATTAAAAATAAGCCACTAAGTTGCATATAGGAGTCTCAATACTTTTACCTCAATTTGGGCAACCACATATACACTAGTACTTCTCACATACAAATTTTTTTGACTCAATGCACAGTTAGTGCACGAAAGTGTAATTGGTTAATGATTTATTTGACATAATCATTTATTTAAGAAATTTGTGGATATGTATTCAATTTAATTAACAACTCGCATTACGGACCATAAACAATACTTGCAGTATGATTTCATATAGTTCTACAGTTGATATCATCAGTCAGTCAATCAGTAAAATAGACTATTTTAAAATTGTTGTATTGTTGTTTCATTGACAAACTAAAACCTTAATGAAGCATTAATATTCATGTTGAATATCATGTGATCTAATGAAGGATGTTTCCTAACAGGAAATAACATGTTCACGCTTTCACATATTTGCATAGTAGTAGCAATAATTAGTGAAAGGACATGAATGAACCATTTAGTTAATCATTTCATACTTTAAAATGTGTTATTAAGAATAAATGTAGAGTGAGTGATTGATTGTTAGGTTTTTCCTTAAAAAATGATCCATAAGATCACAAAACATTTTACTTGTGATTGTACATCCAGATGAAATCTTTAAATTGCGTTCTAGTTAATATTTAACTTAATATAGGTATTCTTTACGTAGTTCAGTCCAATCTCTGAGAAACCATTTTATATTGTAACATGTGTGAAAGCTTAACAAAATGTGTTAATATATACCTATGGCGGATGAATATCATAATTTTTTTTCCTAATCGAACGTTGTACTTCTAGACATCAGTCTATTGCATATTCAGAAAGTATTACAAATGAATATTTAGTTTATTGTGATATAACATACTTTCAATTTACATCATTAAAACTACTTTCTACCCCTATCATTTTACAAACTTTTGAAATGCATGAACTGAACTTGTAAATATCATTATCAAGGCTTGACTTGTCAATTTTAAATAAATTAAACATTGGGTAAATTGTTAATTATATAAAAAAAAAGATAATATATTTGTAGTATTCCAATCTGTAGAAAACTGAATTTCAGACTCTCCAGTGGCTTCGTGTAAGTCGTTTTTCTGTAGAAGATGTGTTACAAATATGTCACCATCATTTATTAGTGTGAACTGAACGTTTATGTCATATATTCATAAATAGTGAACAGTTCCTGCAATTGTACCGGTCATTCATATTATATATATATATATATAACAAGGACACTTTTCGTTGACCTTAAATACAATGAAATCTATTACTAATGTTTTCTGCTGATTGTCTTTAAAATGAACAATCTTAACAAATCTTTTGTAGTTTTCTATCCTGTTAAAGTAAAAACAAAAGAGAGAAATAGAAAATTCATCACATGAACATAACAATTAACAAAAATAGTGTCATACATTATTTGTAATTACATATATAGAAAAGAAAAAACTATTGAAATCTTTTATTCTAGCTTCAAATTTCGAAGGTCAAATTCACAAATGACCTAAAAGTTTATATTTTTATGTACAAAGAAGTGGATAATCTAACCAAGTGTTTATTTCATTGGGGAAAAAAGTACAATTAATAAATTCTTCCACTACAACTATGCGCAAATATTTTGAATAGGATTCATTTTACTTATTTACTTCAGTCAACTACGGTCAGTTGGAATATAAGTAATTACTATTAACATAATAATAATAATAATAATAATAATAATAATAATAGTAATAATAACAATTAACTAATGAAAAATTGAGTCCTAAAGGAAGTCAGTGTATGCTGTTACTGAAATGAATTGATGAGAATGACCTAATCATTACCGGATTCGAGTTATTAAGTACTTTTTAAATTACTAATAATTGAAAAAAGTATTCATCATAAAAGTATGATTGAAACAATATTAAACTGTTCTGTTTTTAAAGATCGAAGATTTCCATCTGTTTATTTTGGTTGAAGTATCAGTAGTAACATGAAACTCTTGACATTTCTAAGTGAGTAGAAAATCGTGCTTATATCCCCCCTATCAGCTTGTTCATTTTTGAATTGGCCACTTATTTTGATGTACAACAATAGGGATATCCAAATTTCCCCTTTGTATTGTTGTAACTATTAGCTTTTACAGTTCACATGAACTTCCTTCAAATGTACATAGTGTATTTTAATTTAGTGATTTAATACCACTCGATTCTTCTGAATATTAAGCAGTTATTGTTACATATGAGATTTATCAGCTTGAAATGATGTAAACTACTAAATGCTATAGAATATGAAACATTTTTCCACTCAATGAACATCACTGTTTATACCTAATATGCGGTTGAATTTACTAAGAATCCCATGCATAATCAGGTCATTTTGAATCATATTGTAACTTAAATCAGTATTTCGTAAACTATTTCCTACTGTGAATCATGAATTTCAATTAGCTGACGATATAGTCATATTTCATTTGTAAATATACTGATTCTGATCAGTGACAACAGTTTAAATGTAACTTTTACACCAATTTTTCATTAGCTAACAAAATGTTTCTTGTTAAGTTAGAAAGATCTATCAACTATCTATAAATTTTTTAACAACAATTTCAGTTCTTTCATATTTATTATTCACTTGTAAATATGATGAGTATAATAAATGACTTGAAGCCTAATATTGTCTGTTATTTGAACTAGAATTCCGAAATTTCATATGATTTCTTAGAATAAGGGATTTCATCTACTG